ACTACTGTAATAGAAAACAAGCATCATTATGTTCAAATGTTACGTCGAAAAAGTGGCAGATAGAAATCAGCTCGACAGAGAAAAAATTCCAAAGGACAATTATGACACTGCTCTGAGTTATACCCGAAACCACTACAACTATAAATAAGATAGATATCAAGACACCTGCTTAAAACAATTGATGTTCGAAGCAAAAGCGGGACTAGAAAACAACTAAAATCGGCGTAAAAACAAATGTACGCGGCACCTTAGCCGTTTTTTACTTCACTTCTCTATTTAAATAAAATTGCAAAATACTGCTAATACCATTGTTTACAAGAGACTATAACAATATATACTAATAAACCTGTCTTTCGATCACAGTCTAAGCAATCTGATGAACGATTTTTCGAATAAATTGGTTTTTATCCGATTTCAGGTGACAGTTATTTATGTATTCGAGTGCGTGGCAGTAGATTGACAGAAATCTGGGTTGTACGACTGTGACAATAGTCGTTTATAACTCAAACGAAAGAGACACATTCCTTACGACAAAATGGCGGTAAAGATAAACGAAAATATAGTAATGTACACTCATAAAACCTTTGTTTTTTTTCAACTACTCTTCTTTGAAATTAACTTAAAAATAAAAATATGAACCTATTAAATAATATGAAAATGGAAGCGGGCAGAAATAACTATAGATTACAAGCAGTAGCTCATGTGTTGAAATGTAAAGTATTTTCTATTATTTTCCTGTATTTCCATTTTTAGATTTGGAAATTGTGATAAATACGGGAAAGTTATTGAAGGGAATCTTCTACTTCTTCTTAGAGTGCCGTCTCCCTACGGAGGTTGGCAATCATAATGGCTATTTTTATTTTAGAACTTGCTGCTCTAAACAAATCAATCGATCTGCATTGGTACCAATCACGTAGATTCTTTAACCATGAGTTCTGCCTTCGGCCAACAGATCTTCTTCCTTGAATCTTTCCCTGTATTATCAGTCTCAAAATTTCATATTTTGGTCCCCTCATCACGTGGCCTAGGTATTCCAGTTTTCTGGTTTGTATAGTGGTGATTAGTTCTGTTTCTTTACCAACCCTCTCCAGTACTTCTTTATTTGTAATTCTATCAGTCCATGATATTTTCAATAATCTGCGGTATAACCAGAGTTCGAAGGCCTCGATTCTTTTTAAATTACATTTTTTTAATGTCCAAGTCTCAGCTCCATATAATAATATTGAAAATATATAACAGCGAATGGTACGTAGTCTGATCTCCAAATTTAGATTTTTGCACGTTAGGAGTGGCTTCATTCGTATAAATGCTGATCTGGCAATCTCTATTCGTCTGTTTATTTCTACAGTATGATCATTGGTTTCATTGATCAAAGTTCCCAAATACTGATATTTTTCTACTTGTTCTATCACGTTACCATTTATTGTCAATAGGTGATGTATATTTTGTGGCCTTTTTGTAATCAGCATGTACTTCGTTTTTTTAGCGTTTATAGTAATTCCCATCTCAGCACTATTTATACTCAAGCTTTCGATAAGATGTTGTAGATCCTCTATACTCGTTGCTATGATCACAGTGTCGTCTGCATATCTTAAATTATTAATTAATTTTCCGTTAACGGTGACTCCCGCTTCGATATTATTGAGCGTGTTTTGGAAAATTTCTTCAGAATATAAGTTAAACAAAAGTGGTGATAACACACATCCCTGTCTAACTCCTCTACAGATCCTCATTTCTTCTGAGTGTTGCCCATCAATTTGAACTATGGCACTTTGGTTCCAATATAATGTTTGCACTATATTTATGATTTTACTGTCAATGCGCTTGTTCATAAGTATTGATATTAGTTTTTCATGTCTTACTTTATCGAAAGCTTTTTCGTAGTCAACGAAGCACAAGTGTAGATCAACATTTACATCCCGACATCGCTGAATTAATATGTTGATGGCAAATAGTCCTTCTCGAGTACCCATTCCATTTCGGAACCCGAACTGCGTCTCGCTAATATCCTCCTCTAGCCTTTCGTATATTCTCTTATGTATTATTTTTAGCAGAACTTTTAAAGTATGACTCATGAGGCTCAGTGTTCGATAATCAGAGCACTCTTTTGCTGCTTGTTTTTTAGGGATGGTTATAAATGCTGACTTTAGCCACTCCTGTGGTATTATTCCCGTATCGTACACCGTGTTGAATAAATCTGCCAATACTTCCAAGTTGTCCTCTTCCACTAATTTTAACAGTTCTACTGGTATTTCATCTAATCCAGCTGCCTTATTGTCTTTAGAGTTTTTGATAGCATATTTGATTTCATCTATCGTGATCTTCTGTATCTCTAAAGGATTTAATTCTTGTATTTTCTGCATTTCACCTCTTTCATCTTGGAAAAGTTCTCTAACGTACTCCTCCCATCGCCTTAACTTCTCTGGTAAATCTACTAGTAGTACTCCTTTTTTGTCTTTTATGTGTCCTTGCTGTCTATTTCGACCCATTCCAGTCACTTCTCTAATTTTTTTGTGCATATTTCTCATATCATATTTTGTTTCTAGTTCTTCTATCTCTTTACATTGCTTCATCAAATAGATTTCCTTAGCTGTTTTGATTTTTTCCTTAATTATTCGTTGTATTTCTTTATACTTCTGTAGATCTTTTCCTTTATATTTCCTTCTTTCTTCCATCAGTAATAGTATTTCTTCTGTCATCCAGTGTTTTTTAGCCTCTGATTTATGTTCTATTAAACTTTCTTGAGCTGGTTTCAGTAATGTGTTTTTTATATTACACCACTTTTTATTTACATCCATAATTTGTTTGTTGTCAGTTAGTGTTTTTTGCATATTAACATTCACATTATTTTTTATTTCGTTTTTTATTTCTTCGTTTTGTAGCATTCTTACGTTAATTTTTGGTTGTTGTTTTCTGAGTTCAATTCTTTTTAATTTTATTTTCACGTCAGCCACTAGCGGATTGTGGTCTGAGTTAACATCTGCTCCAGGATAAGTTTTAACTGAGGTTATAGAGTTTTTATATCTGCTATTTACGAGTATAAAGTCTATCTGGTTTCTGACAATGTGGTTTTCTGTATGTGAAGGAGACGTCCATGTATATAGTCTTCTTTTAGGAAGCTGAAACCAAGTATTGGCAATTACCATATTCTTTTCTTGGCAGAATTCTATGAGCCTTTCTCCTCTCTCGTTTCTAGTTCCTAGTCTGAACTGTCCAACTATATTTTCAACTGTACCTACTCCAATTTTTGCATTAAAATCTCCTAAAATGTAAGTAATATCTCTAGATTTTGTTAACTTGATTGTATTGTGCAATTCTAAATAAAAGTTTTCGATCTCATCTTCGGTCTTATCAGCAGTGGGAGCGTAAATCTTCTACACTGGAGTTATATTACTATTTTCTCTGTAGTAAAATACTGAGACGAGGGTTACGGAACTAGCGCCACAAGAAAGCGGCCATCTTCACGCCACGTCACGTCATGGGTAGCGTCACAAAATAGCTGTTCTTCACATTCAATGATTCACTACTCTCGATCCCTTCGTTTCTAGTCATCATATATTTATTCTAAGCAGGTTTAAATTAAAAACTACATAAAAAATAACAGTTATTCTTCGTATCTATCACTGTCTCTAAGAGTTAGTCCTAGTAGCAAGCGTTCCATTCATCTTTGGGCTGCTCTGAGTTTGGTTGCTGTAGCCTAGGTTAGGAAAGTGTTTTGGCGACGTAAGTCATGACTGGAAGCACATATTGGTCGAACGACTTCTTTTTCAAATAATTTGACATATTTCTCTTAAAGATGTCTGATAGAGCTCCATATGCGGCTCATGATAAAGTGATTCTTCTTTGCAGTTCAGCAGTTTGGTTGTCACTAGCAATTTGGATTTCTTGACTTAAGTATTTATATTTATTAACTAATCCTAGTTTGTTGAAAAAGTTTGTTTACCTGTCGACAACAATGTATTTGATAATGAAGAATGTAGGGATATCTACTTGCCCACTATTAATTTTAACGAATTTTAAGAAAACGAAATTTTAGTAGCATTTAAAAGAATTAAAAATAAAATGATGTCCGGACCAGATAACATTCCAGCATTTTTAGTGAAAGATTGTTCTCGGGTATTTGTAAAGCCACTTCAAAATTTTTTTTAATTTATCAATTAAATCGGGAACTTATCCTGAATTGTTGAAAAATTCAAAAATATGCCCTGTATTCAAAAACTGAACAAAATCTGATGTATCCAATTACAGACAGGTATCTTTGTTATCCAATTTTTCAAAGGTTTTCGAGGTGACTCTATATAACCGTATTTACCCTTCTGTTAGGGGATTGATATCACCTTATCAACATGGCTTTATAAATAAACGCTCTACTGTATTAAACTTAGCTGTAATAACTCAATATATTTCAGATGTTTTGGATGTACAAGGTCAAGTAGATGTGATATATACTGATTTTTCTAAAGCGTTTAACAAGGTTGATCACAAATAACTTCTCTTTAAATTATTAAATTTGGGATTTTCTGGAAAACTTTTAAAGTTTCTTGAAAGCTATTTAATAGGTAGGAACCAATTTGTATCGTATAATGGTTTCATATCAGAATTAATCTTTACTACATCCGGTGTTCCACAGGGATCAAATTTAGGTCCATTGTTGTTCCTATTATATATCAATGATTTATTTTTAGATATCAATAACAGAAAATTATGTTTTGCGGATGTCTTAAAATATACTGTGAAATTAAAACAATTGCTAACTGTATATATTTACAGAACGATATAAATTATATAGATACTTGATGTGTGTAAAAACAAACTTTTTCTTAATTTTAATAAGTGTAAAGTAGTAAGTTATTCTAGAAAGGAAAATAAAGTTGATTTTAATTATGTAATTCAGGGGTCAGATCTTGAAAAATGTAAAAGCATTAAAGATTTAGGAGTTATATTTGATTCAAAATTAACCTTTAACAACCGAACATATTGAACAGAAAGTATCCGATACAATGAAAATGTACGGTTTTATCATCAGAAACTGTAGAAATTTTAGCGATATAAGACCGATTAAACTGCTGTATCTATCGCTAGTGCGAACAAAACTAGAATATTGTAGCTTAATTTGGTATCCCATTTGTAAATGTTATATGCAACAAATTAAAAAGGTACAACGGAAACTGTCCCGTCCATGGTTATGATTACGATTTGCTATGTAACAGGTTTAATATTGTAAGTTTAGAGTTAGGAAGAGTTACATTTTCAGTTTCATTTTTATATAAGTTGTTACACAACTGTATTGACTGCAGTGATATATTAGGTCAAATTAGATTTATCGTGCCAAGAATTACTTCCAGGTCTACTACGGTATTTACTTGTCCAGGTGCGAGAACAAATATGTTACTGAAGTCACCCATTTATATTATGTGCGATAATTATAACAAAATATGCAACCACTGTGATATTTTCTCATGCTCAATTAATCATCTGGTTGATACCGCACTAGTTTTTGGAGTACCTTAGATTGTTATTTTTTTTTATTTCTTATTTACATAGTGATTTGTTTATTTATATTGTTCTCACTCTTTATTTTGATTTTCACCTACTTATTTTTTGTACTTATTTTTGTACTTGATATTTTTGTATCACCTACTGATTGTATACTAATTAAAAATGTATCTTAAATTTTTACCCTAGAAATTGAAAACTGTTTCCATCAAGGAAAACATCCTCCATTTCGTCGCACCTTTCTCTTATCCATTTTTCTTTGGCTAATGTTATCTATCTTTTAATTCTTCTCTGTAGATATCTATAGTTTCTGTGCATCTTAAAGTAACTAGAAATTATAAGTATCTCTTTTTTTCAGTGTAACCATCGATGACAGTAGAAATTTCTACTTTTAACAACAATTTTCGGGAACTTTTCTTTCTTTACTCTCCATTAATTTCAAATATTTGCTGAAAAGGGAAAAATGCTTTAACCAAAATATTCCGTACTTGTTAAAAGTTTGGGTAGAATGTAAAAATTGCTGATGGTGACGTTGAAGATCAATTATGGGAATCATCGTACAAGAAACTGAATGTAGGTATGTCGAATGTAACTTTTAAGAATTTTAGGGATATATTTAAAATTCTTTATCGGTTTTTACAGTTAATCGGATTTCTTTGTTTCTTTTACGATATTAAAAAGATTGAGTAAAAAGTGTAAAGGTATAACAGAAAATTGCTATTATCTATATAAACGTTGTCACAGATAATAAATATATAAAACAAATCAAGTTACTTTAGGATTAATTATTGCCTTATACAATACATTCATAATAAAAGGAAATACTCACATGTTACCAGTTACTTATTTTTCTGGTTGAGATTGAGTTTTTCTGTTTTTTGCCTGTGGTAAGGATGACTACTAAGTGGATCGAATATCTTAATTACCAACGTTACTACTGTCGGTTCTAAACCCAAATAAAGGAAAGTGGTTCATAGTAAATTTAGCTCCTTGTCTAGAGTAAACGATCTTGCTCCGTTAATTGGAGTAATAGTCTCGAAGGTCAAACGGATTAATGGACAAACAAACTATAATGAAAAATGAAACGAACATGGACACAGCAAAATTTTCTTAACGAAACGAACGATTTCGAATAACTATTTGGTAAGAAAAGCAAGTTTGCTAAATTTTCCGTTTTCAATCTCATGAAGGTTTAATCAATTTTATGTCTTAATACTTAAGAGAAAAGAGTGTGGGAAACTAAACTAATAACGCAAACCTATAAAAGAGCAGAACAACGATATTGCAGCGATATTTCAAAGTAAGGGTTAATCTTGGCAAGAAACAACCCAAATGGTGCAGAATAGAAAGTAATTGAAGAAAAATCTTTGAAAGCTAGATGCACCATCCTTGACATCTAATGGCAGAAGATGAACGGATATATATGTATATAATGTGGCTTTAACGAATTACGTATAAATAATCTATGTTCATAAAGATGGAGATAAGATACAGTGCATCGACGCACAGTGATTTGAAGTCAGAAACGAGGGAGGAGAAACCGAGAAAAATTCACAGATGACTTAAAACTAGAACACATTTTTCTAGTTATTCCTACCTAGAAAGCTGTAAACGTGAAAATTGCCTCAAGACAGACCTGAGAGAATCATTAGAAACAGCTTCACATCTGTCAAGATTTATGCGAAAGTAGACTGGTAGAAGGAACCACGTTTCACCGGAAGTATTCCGAGTCAAACTCAAAAGAGTGCAAAAAAGAAAACCAGAACCATATGCTGTTAATACCATATGATGCTGAAAGATCTTAATTCGAAAATGAGAGTCCAAGAATATGACCAAAAGATCAAACAGGTTACAGAAATAGTTCAAAAGGAAAGAAAAAAAGGCAGTAAAATTATTAAAGAAAAAATCATGCATTAAAGATGAGATCCTGCTGCTGATGGCCAAAAGAAGAAAAATCAAATATAACCTAGACGGATATAAAATCAACTCAAAAAAGCAGTACTAAGATGCGAAGAAATTGGAACTCTCAGTTAAAGTTCGATAGTCACAATGTACATAAAAAAGTTAATAAACTCATAGCTATACTTAGACGAAGACAGAGAGGAAATCCAACTGATTTTAACGAGAGTACAATTTTGGACAAACAGGTTAAAATAAGAAGGTAGAATGGACACAGCCTAAAGAAACTGTTTGAAGACCAAACAGATAACACCTTTGAGCTAGAAGGAACACGACTAATAGACCAAGAATATTGCAACAGGAAATTTATTCTGCAATCACATAGCTAAAGGATGGAGATGCTGATATAATTCCCGGTAATATACAAGCAGAACTACTGCAGAACAGAGAATTTACAAGATATGTGAAAGTTAAATTTACCCCAAACAGTTTGAGTTCTAAATGCTTTTGGTACGAGGCTTTGTTTTTATTACAAGTCTTATTTCAGATATACAGAGACATCAACTGTGACTTATACGTATGTCTGGTTGATTACTAAAAGTTGAATACCATAAGAAGCAGACGTTAATAATCAAGATCTAAAAATAATTAAATATTTTTACTGGAATCAGACGGTAAATCTCAGCATTGAAGATGAATACACCGAAAACGTGAAAATCTCGCATGGAGTGAGGCAACATCCGATATAGAGATGATAACATAGTATTTGCGGATAACGTGACGTGCGTTACTATAAAGTGTTTAAAATATTACAATATATAGTACTAAGACTACTAGTATCTCTTTTACTACTAATGGCATTCATATTTTTGTTGATATGGCACATCTCGGGAAACAAGCGCATGTTTTATTTCTCCTGTTGCAATCACTTTTATGTTGTATGATCCGCTGTTTCAGCCACTGCTTTACACTACTATTATAGTAGTAGTTACTTTTTCGACATCACTGAACTTCATTCCCAATTGAGCTTTCCTTTGATTCTAATATAATAATAATTGTTTTTCATCTAATTCTTTTTCCCGGAGTGACAAATTTACAATTTGACATGAGGGACAAAGATTCAGATAGTTCTAGTCGGAGTAGTAAGCGTTGGAATTATAGATCTGAAAGATCTAAAAGCAAATTTGAGGGTTTTTCCAATATAACATGCCTGGCAAATCAAACACTGTAATTAATATATGACATTGCTATTATACCTCATTAGTGTTCGATCTATGATTTGATTATGCAAGGGAAGATACAAGGGAAGAGAAACCCAGGACGACGCAAAAATGTCCTGGCTAAGAAATTTGAGAGAGTGGTTCGGCTGCAGCTCATTAGAATTATTCAGAAATGCGGCCAACAAAGTTAAAATAGCGATGATGATTTCCAACCTCCGCTAGGAGAAGGAACCCGAAGAAGAAGAAGAAGTGTTCGATCTTTCATTATACAGAATATGGTTTTGCATTTGGAAGTAAGTTGGTTGATGTTGATGTTGATGTTGATCTAATTGTCCATCATAAAACTGTGTTGAATATTAGTTGTTTTAGTATATCCTTACGATAACCGTTATTTAAAAACAATTCAAATAATTTGTTTTAGTTCTGGTATAAAAATTGGTCATCGCTGATGTGTTCTATTATATTTTTCATTGTAATAACGGTATTACATTTTTGACTTTTAGGGTGATTAGAAACATAGTTTAGAAACCTTCGTGATGTTGTAGAGTTTCGATTGAGTTTTGATATATATATATATATATATATATATATATTATATATATATATATATATACTATAATATAATTATTAGATTTTCGGATGACTTTGGCATCTAAAAATGGTACAGTATTGTCCTTCTCCATTTCAACAGTAAATTGTATGTTTTTGTTGAATGAATTAAAAACATTTAATGTTATCTGTATAATTATGATCTTATGGGACAGCGCAAATTATATCATGAACATATTTTTATAGGAAAGGTAGCTTGAAGGGAAAAGTAGGGACAACTTCAGCTGTAAATGATATACAACAATTATAGCTAAAATCGGACTGAACTACCCATGAGCGTTCCAAAAATTTGACAGTAAAACGTATTATTAACAGAAAGTTACGTGTATTCAAAAATGAATTTTATTAAATTTAAAAAATTTTCTTTGAACATCCTTGTCTGATCTTCAATCAATTCCCACTTAGACCGTATTATCGGGTATACCAAATTTACATCCAGAGAAATCAGTTCATAGTTATCAGGTAGACTAAATAGTAACATTAGTTAGAGAAAGTGTCTTTAATATTGAAATCAGTTCTATCTTCCAAAACATTTTGTAGAATACCTATTAGATAACAATTTTGATATATCGTAGGTGAGAGAATTGATAGAAGTTTATGAAGTTATGCATTTCACTGCAACTCTAGAAATTCAGGTAAATTTTATATTCAGGTAAATGAACTGGCAGAACAAAGTCCACAAATTCTTGAAGAATACTTTATAATGATAAGACTACCAAAGAGAATTGATATACTTTATAAAAGTACTACCTCAATCAAGCATGGAAGCTTATCGTCTATGCCTCGCCTAGATCAGTCTCTCAAGTGTGAATTCGTCTTGTCTTAAACTATGAATTAAACTATGAATCCTTGCTGATAGCAAATAAAACAATTATATTATAACTAATCATATTTATTAAAAATAAAAAAATAATATTTAAGTAGCAAAAACAACTCTGCCAATCCACCTAATTGGGCCAAACATATTTAGTAGGAAGGCTGCTTGCTACTAAATATGTTTGGCCCAATTAGGTGGTTAGGTCCTCCTGATAGCTGCAGTTATTCCATATTATATTCAGTAAATATCCCATAAATTATTCAATAAAGTATTACAGAAATATCCCATAAAACCAATCAACTAAAATACAATAACAGCCTATATTAAAGAAACATTAAAGGTTCTTGCCATTACACAAAATTACAATTAAACAAATAGTAGA